CACATGAATTGATGTATTGTAAAACAGATTCGTATTGTTGAAAAGATTATTGTCATGAGTTCAATAAATGATGAAACGCAGTGAAAATTGGCGAATTCTGAACGAAACTTTACATCGAAACGCAGCTGCTCACATGCACGATATTTGCATATGCTTTTCAGCAATTTGATGCATGATCCTCGTGCAATTCATCTGCATAAGGTTTGCAGTTGGTTTCCCTAAGTTAGTAAAACTTCATCTTCGATGTAACCACATATATATACATAACATATAGTGACTTTTGATGGGTTGTATAGTCTGTATAGTATTTGGGCCGGTTGAGTTGAATGAAATATACCGATAGTGCAGTCGTTTGGTGCCATCTCTTCTTTCGATTGGGCAGTTAAGGGTCACTTTGTGACCGTGTATATCCACACCCATAGAGAGAGTGAGTTTGTTTTTTCGCCGCTTTTAGCAATATCACCAGAAATGGGCTTCACATATTGTACCAATACGGGGAATTGAATCCGGTGACGAGTGAGTGCTTTAACCACAAGGCTACCCCATCGCCCCACACCCTTAGAGCCTGAAGTCCATTGGTTATGATACATCGCATGACCATGATATATGTGAACAAGGAAAGTCGGTAAATATTTAATATGGTATTGTGAAATAGTGACAATCAGTTATGAAAGAGAACTAACCCATATTCAGGCATTGTCCTTCAGTGTGCTTTGCTGACCTTACAAATTGTTTATAAATTGTTTACATTGTCAAGCTACGAAACGTCACGTGTCATTTTCAAACACGAGTAGTTCTCTCTAACTGCCACAACCTGCTTTTTAATGCTGCAACGTAGAAAACATATTTTATATGGATAAACCATTGCTTTTATATATGCACAAACGCCTGTATGCTTTTTTCCGGCTCTCATCACGATACATATACTCAGCGTCATTAATGAAGGGTCAAGCTATTGGTATTACTAATACGTTCTTAAAGGCCGGGCTTCAAACCTATACACAGATGGGGTCTGGCCTCCTTGCCTTGCCAAAGGTGTCTTTCAATGCAAAACATTCCATGAAATATCACAAAATTGACTTACCGGTTCTTGATGAAATTAAGCCATTGTGTAAAGAAGTATGTTATGAAGACTCACTGCAAAACGTGTTGATGTAGACTGTGTACAAAACCTGCCTTTTAAAAATATATAATCTCTTTTTGAAATCCAAATTTGAACTTGCCACTGTATCAGTCAGGAGGCCAGAGGAGGTGCGTCTCGGCAGAAACAGACCTCTTAGTGGAAGTTAAAGCTTCATTCAGGGTTTCATATTTCACTTTCTTCCCAGGCAGTCAGTGAAACTGATGCACTCCACCACTCCTGATGTGCGGGTTGTACACTGATTTGCCTCTTGACACTGAGTGGAACACTTGATTCCCCGCCCCCCGGGGTGATTTTGGCTTGGTATCCTTGTTATTATTATCAACACATCAAGTAGGCAAATTTAATTATCTTCTATAGTAAACCTTTGGTGTCCTCAATTCTTTATAATAACATAAGATTCTCTAAAATGCAGTAATAACATAACATTCTGTACTTTTCAAAACCCAAAAGCCTCAAATGAACAATGCTTAGTTTTGGTATGCTAACTCGTGGGTGAGATCACACTTCATTGAATCCTACTATCGGAATAAACTTGACATATCTCATTATCTGGCTGACCATACTGATTTCCTCACATGATGGATCCAAGTTAGCGATGTGCTCGTTTTACAATCGAAATACCTGGTGACAAAGAAGTCAAGCAAGGTATTCTCCAAAAACTGAAACAAGTGAAAGCACACCTAAAAGCAGAGAGAAACAAGCCTGCTAATAATGCTGAGGTTCTGGACCGGGTTCCGTCAAATTATCTCCAGCACCATGGTGTGACTGCCCCAGAAGATCCACCGGTTACATACCTGACACAGCCAGACCAGGTGACTCTGATGACAATTTTTTCATTATATCTGAATCATCCATGAAAATGTGTCTGGATGTAGCAGAGAAGCATGGACGAAAATGTTCCAATAAATTGACTGTTACACAAGTCAGTTATGGTGGCCATGAAATGAAGATGACAGTTCGCTGCCGCAAGTCACACCAGTATCGTCTGGCGTTATAACCCTACCTACCCGACAACAAATTTCTTGTGAATGAGAAGGTTGGACATGCTTTTTACAGCTGTGGTATGTTACCAGTTCAGTACCAAAGGTTCTGTTCAGCTGCAGGGATTGGTAATCTGAGAAATATAGAGAACAACAACTTACCACCTATAAGGCTTGTGTTCAGGCAGAATATACTGACTGGTGTGAAACTTCATTGTTAGAAGAAGTTGCTGGTTATGAAGATTTGGACGGCATCAACATCATGACAGACAGATGGCTGGAGAACAAATGTCAAGGATAGTAGTGTGGTGGCCATTGGTGATTACACTCATAAGGTGTTAACATGCCAACATATTACCAAATAGAATGATCCTGTTTCACAGCGGCGCGAAAGGATTGGAACAGTGGAGATATACTATTACCTCCAAGAGAGAAATGTCTATGTTAATGTACACACCCACGACAGAAACCTGTCTGTAAATAAACTCATTCGGGACAGTGGAACAATGAACCAAAATGACATATGACATGGCATAAAATCAGCAGCCTAGTCCCTTTCTGCTGTATCCACTGGGCCAAAGTACAAGCATGGCAATACCTGGCATGAACAGCTGTCAGACAAAGTGCAACCTGTTGCTACACACTTCCATCATGCCATTCGAAATGTAACGGTGACAGCGAGAATCCACAGCGAGATCCTCACTCATAAATGTGATCGAACATTATAAGAACAATCATTCTGATTGCAGCCCACCCTCAAGGTGCAAGGAAGATCCAAACTATGAACCATCACGTATAGTGCTCACAAGTGAGAAAGCTGTGTCATTGTTGAAAGGTGTTATCACAGATTCCATCCTTTTCAAGTATGCAGACGACATCAGTTTGGCTAAAGATACTTTCTATGTTGAAAGTTTCAATAATGTTATGAATATTTTTCAAGACAAACGAATCTCACTTACTGGCAGTATTTACAATATAAAATCTCAATTAGCTGTTTGCCACTGGAGGGGCGGTGGGGTAGCCTAATGGTTAAAGCGTTGGCTCGTCACGCCGAAGACCCGGGTTCGAATCCCCACATGGACACAATGTGTGAAGCCCATTTCTGGTGTCCCCTGCCGTGATGTTGCTGGAATATTGCTAAAAGCGGCGTAAAACCATACTCACTCACTCACTCACTGTTTGCCACTGGAATGAAAATGTGAATAGAAGCTATACTTCTGAGTGGCATTCAAGGAATCCTTTGTGCAGAGATGTCGCAGGAATGGGAATTACAAACCTGTCTCCTACAATTACAGGCGCAATGTATGGAACAGATATCTTGGGAGATTATTTTGACCTGAAACAATTATGTATGGCCATCAGATAATTCATTTTTCCTTGCTGACCCTCTAATTTGCTGACTCGTTTATCTTTACTGTTACTACTAATTATCGCAACAGTGTTACTTCATAGATAAAGTCTTGAGAAAGCTGTGTAAAATAGTACAACCTCGAGAAACAGCGATCATGGAAGTTGAAGAAGAAAGACTCTCTCACACATTGATGGTTACTCCTCTCCAGAGAGAAACTATATATAATCTATTTCATCAGCATAACTGGGATATAATAGAAGTTCCCATTCCGAGGCAACAGTGACAACGCTTCCAGGTATGAATGAATCTGAAGGTGACCCCGAGTTTCTCATACAACAGAGACCTGGTGCAGATGAGTGTCCTCACTGTTTGTGCAAACCATGCATAACAGACCCAGTGAACAGGCACATGTGGTGGGAGGAAGATATCCTTCAGGAAAACACAAGAAATTCTGAACTTAGAAATGGGCACTAAAAGCGATTTTGGACCATGCTTCTTCACCGAGGTGTATGGAGAGATGCTCGATATCAAGAAAGAAAGAGACAGGCATTAGAGAGACATTTCAACAGACATCACTTGGTGTGGACTGGAACCAGACACCAGCGTGACTTGATGCCAGATTGTGTCATAACATTAGTTCGGACATGGCTCCCCAATCCTGCAAATAAGCCATATATGGGACATACCTGATGTTATATGAACGTTATGTACATATGCTATCGTTGCTATATGTCTGTGCTGTCTCCTATTCGAAATGCTGTTTTCAAGTGGAATGCATTATTCTGTTATGAAGGTAATATACCATGATTAAAATATGTTATAAATATTATGTATTTAATTTAGAGACTTATTTTACAGCAAAACAAATGGTAAATATTATATTTTTATTAGGACATAAATTGTTAACATAGCGTATAACTGAAGTAATATGATTGAATTTTGTGTAAAAATTATTTGTTTGTATTAGAAATAACTTTTGAGAAAAAGTTGATTTTCAAATGAATAAGTAAATTAGCATGTCGCTTATCAAATGAGTCTGTCATTTTTATCTTCATGAAATGAAGGGAAGGGTTGTTGGACATTTACTATCAGGCACATGTTTGTTCTAGTAGTAAATTCCAAGCTTAAGCTTTGACATCCCCAGACTTCCATCAGGCTCTTGCCAGGCAATGCTGAGGAGTAACCGTGTGTGTGTGTGCGTGCGTGCGTGTGTGTGTGTGTGTGTGTTTTGAAACCCACGGGGGATTTGCGCCCCGGCCTTTAATTGTAATATCTTCGTTTTTGTTTTGTTTGAAATATATATAACTGAATGTTTTACAAACTTTCGTAACAGTATGGAAAAACACATTAGGCCGTTGAAATATTCTTTAACGTCCGATACATTCTGTTACAAAGAATTTTTAATTCAAATTGTCAACATGGAATTTCACCTGCTAATTAATGTCTATGATTTGCACATGCAAGTCGCTCTATCCATGGAAAGTGGAGGACAACACACGTGCATTGATGCTTTTGTCGTTCACTGTTCAGTTACCTGTTTGAAATCGCAGCTTAAAATGAGACGTTTTTGGACACTTGATGAAATGGGTCAGCTGCAGGCTATAGGCATTTTGGAATCTGGTCAAATTCAGGTTGTTGTCCGCTTTATTTTGAGTCAGAGTGCCATTGGTAGAATGTGGCAGAGATTTCAAGCCAACTGATCCATGGAATGTGGTCGCCCCGAGTCGCTATAGTCCGAGATTAACGCTGCGTTACGTAACAGATTACTTAACGCAGCAGATCTTCAGACAGAACACTTCAATGTTAACAATGTAAGGATACTCAGGAACACCGTTCGTTGACGTTTAAGGGCAGCCGGACTCCGTTGTGGGCGAACTGCAGGTTTGTCCACCACTAACACCACGTCACAGGCAGGCCCGTTTGAGATGGAGTAGACATCATGGCCGCTGGAATCAACGTCAATGGTCTCGTGTGCTGGGCAGGGATAACTCCTACTGCACGTACTCCACAGCGCGTGGTCGACGACGGTATTCTTACCGGACAGCGTTATCGGTACGAGATTCTGGCTCCTATAGCAGTACCATTCCTGCAAGCTAAGCATGGCTTTTATGGTCGACCCTCTGCAAGACGACAACGCTGGGACTCACAGAGTCAGGGTTGTCACGGAATTCCCTAGGTGGCAGGGTGTCGAGCGGATAGAGTTGCCAGCATGTTCGCCAGACCCAATTGAGCATGCTTGGGATGAACTCGGTCGACGTGTGTACACACGTCACCCAGTACCAGTGGATCTCCGAGACTCCGCAGAGCTCTAGTTGAGGAATTCCGCAAGCTTTCTTAATGAACTTAATAATGAGCATGATAAGGTGCACCTATGTCTTTGACGCGCGAGGAGGGTACACAAGATATTAAATGACCGAGTGCTTCATGTTTGTCATTTTCATTTTCGGGTGTTGGTCTATACAACTGATGTTAGCTAGTTAGTGCTGTTTGAACGTTTTTTCTGTATGTCACGATGTGTCACGTTTGTCAATACATTAAACATCATGATGACACTCTCAGTTCTATTATTTCCGAGAAACCTTTCTTCACATGTGCTATATATCATTTGACCCTTTACTAATGACGCCTAGTATATGTGGAGTTGGGTAATATTCTTATTTGTACGAAGTCTTATGTCTGTCTGTATATGTTTAAGATGTACAGCGATGAGACGTAAATAATAATATCTGTCTGACATACCGTCAACAGAAGAAGAGTTGATCAAGCGGTAGACTCTATCGACTAAATTACTTAATTAGTTTCCAGTCGGCTTCTTTCTTATTTATAAAGGGTTAGCAGGTAAACATTCAGTTCAATAATTATTATAATTGTTATGAGTGAGTTAAGATCTTAAGTCAAATCGGCAATATTTCAGCCACATCGTGACTAAATCAAATTACAGATTTATAATAATTAAAAGTATATTATAAACACCTGTCAATGAAGGACAGTAAAGCGACTACACAGATATGAAATTAAAACTAGTAATTATATCTAAATCGGCTTATATATAGAAGACGATTCAATATGAAAACAGGCTATAGATCGCCAACAACTGAAAGTAGATCACTAGTGAGTGAGTCAGTTAAGATTTTAAGTCACATCGGCAATATTTCAGCCATATCGTGACTAAAACAAGTTTTAAATTCACCAGAAAGACCTGTAAATTATAAAACCCTGTCAACGAAGGACAACTAGAATATCACAGTATCAAGAATAAAAACTAGCATTTCTCTCTAATGTTGGATTTTCAATTAGGACAATACAGTATATCAATGGGCTATAGATCGCCAACTGGAGGTAGACCACCATACTAAGTACCATGGGGGATGTACTGACATATTATGCAGTACACAGAAACCCAAATTACAACATATATGTTTTGTATGAGGAAATCTCAGATAAGATAAACAAGAAGTTATTATCTATAGTGTTGAATGGCTCATATATCTATAAGAAGAAGGTTCAACAGAATAAATCATTTCCAGATAGATTGTCCTACATTGTGACAAGGTCTCTCAAACCAACACCCACCCAACAACACTGTTGTTGTGCTTTTGTCAGACATATGTCAGGCTCGTCAAAATATGGCCATGTGAACTGCAGACCAACACAGATATGTCCGAGGAAACTGCAGACAGTTGTTAGTCGTTCATCTGCCTTTGAACTGAGGCAGGACATGCAAACTGGGGAGAGCCGACAGAGCAGAGCACGCACAATCCAGAAGAAAAAGGGCAAGCCAGGGACTTGAAGGAACGAACTGACCAGTGAATCCAGCCCATCTACTGCCCAATTGTCAGCGTCACTTTGTTGCCTACCCCTCGTAGCTGTTCGGCCCGCCCCACAAGTTAACTAGAAGAAATAAAACTGCCATTATTTGTTCGACACTACGCCTCGTGTTACCTCAAGAGCGCCGGAAGTGTTAATTACATTCCCTATTCAATGTCACCTCGAGCTCGTGTTGACGCAATGATTTGCCCTCCCACAGATGCCTTTAAAGTGTGTCACCATACACACAGTGTAATGAGGGTAGTTAAGTATTCGTACAATCCCTCACGAGTGATCGGTTACCTTGCCTTTTTTTGCGAAGGCAATGTGTATTCGCTCGACTAGCTACCTTTTCTTCTCGTCGGCATTTGGCGGAACATGTATAAATGTGTGCCTCTCAAGAACCTTGTATAAATTTACGATAAACAGACAGGGTGAACCAATGTCGCATGCGTGTGACGGCGTGACATTTGAAGTCAATAGATTGCTTTGAGTCTTGTTTAAGTAATCGAGAGTCTGGACCAGACAATCCAGTGATCAACAACATGAGCATAGACGCAATTGGGATACGATCACGTGTGTCAACCAAGTGAAGTCAACAGATTTCATTTTGTATTTTCAACAAATGACAACTTTGTTACGTTTTGCATCGAACGCCAGACACGATATACTATATACTATATGTACTAGTATTTGTTTTGTTGGATGTGACACATTACAAACAAAAGGACAATATAAACAAATGTCATGTGAAGTTAACATGTGCACTGTAATAATATCAAAATGAATTTTAAGAACTGTCTTTAATTTTCGAAGACATATATCTAACTTTATATATTGTCACCACGTTTGGCAACAAAAGCTTCATGATTAAAGCTAAGGGACAACGTTTGTACAAAGTTTACAAATAAAATGTTTTGTCAGAATTGATATTCGTTTTTCCTCGGATTGTAACAATCTCAAGCAAATCTTTCGGAATCTCCATAATAGTTTAACCACGCCTCTGGAACACATGCTGTGGACATAATGAAATTCCTACTGTAGGAAAATGGGTTTTTCTTTGGGAGTAAATGTTATTTTTCACACTATTGGGTTTGTTCACGCTAGTGGGTTTGTAATTTAGTGGGAAGTTTTACGTAGCAATTTCCGGAGTAAGTGATTTCTTCAGAGGTTGCTTGTAGTGCATAAAATTCCGCTTTTTACCTTTGTTTGGCTGTAAAATTCAGTTGGAATTATTCCTTTACCGAACTGTTTACAGTCACGGTATGCGCATGCTCGGATTGCCGTGGCCCGGTGTGTTTTCTGTTCGCATGCCGAGTGCGGTATGGTAGAGCTGCCGTGATTGGTCGGCTAACTCCATTGCGGGCCAATGGGTGTTAAGCTAACGTCTCCCGGGTCAAAGGTTAGCGCACGGGCCTGCAAAGCTCAGAGAAGTGGCTTACTTCAGGATACCCTGACTGTAGTAAGTAGGGAGGTCTTCCTCCTTTCCTATTAGGTATTGTGTAGGGTTGTTTTTCATGTAGAATAGGAGACTGACTAGTGGGTTGGGGGAAATGATAGGTTTAGAGTAGGTTTTTATTTTGTAGGAATGAATTAGTTAGGGTTTTCTTTTTAGGCTTAATAGATTATTAGGGGTGAGTGCGTGAGAGGAAGTCTGGTATTTATTTTGTTAAGTTTGGTTCAGTTTATTTTTATTAACTAATAAATTGTATTTGTTTGGCGAACTTGAATTATGTTATTTCTCTGCAAGAATCATTAGTCATGACTTAAACTATCATAGAACCTAAAAGAAAGGTTATAAAGGTTCCGGTTTCAAAGAAATAAGTCAACATCCACTAAAAAAAATACACAACGCAAAGTCTGCTGCTGAAACCGTTCAGAAACATCGAACCTAGAACCTTACTGTCACTGGGTGATTCGCCGCAACGGAGTCGCCTATTACACTACCTTGATTCCGTAAAAGAATATGGCTAATGTTTCTGACAAGCTTTAAAGGCCCATTTTCGATAATATTTTGGCCTCCCATATATACATTGGGGCATATGCACGCACTTTAGCTTCCTATTGACGCAATAAAAACTTATCATCCCTTACGACTTGCTGTCTGTAATGGATAATTGAAACTTAGAAACAGCTTCCAAACAGAGAACAATTTGCCATATATGGAATGTAAACAATTGCTCCGTACATTGAAAACTGTCGCTTGCGGTGTTTTCGGTGTTTGCCGAATTGGTTTCAATCACAACATGTGAAGGATATTCGTAAAGAGCGCGCCAAGGGACATAAGTCTATGGGGTTCACTTGAAATAATGTTCGGCAGGTAGAGGTCGCGAGAGTCGATTTAATGCAACGTTGTATTAATTTATTCGAACGTTTTAATTTAATACTTAAATCTAAATATGCAGTGTATTGGGGAATAAATCATATGTTAGCTTCCCTGAGTGCTGATAGTGTTATTGAGGGAAATGCAGTATTTACTAATAGAGAAATGCATTATTTACTTATAGAGAAGTGTGTCGTGATATACCGGTAGTTCCTTTAAGTGGTATATCTGCTGGCCTTACTACTATATTTCTCTTCGTGCTGATTTCAATGGCGCTTTGGAGACCATTACAGGAGAGAAGAGCACGCCCTAAAGCTTTAGAGACAAGAAAAAAGTTGACATTACCAATGTATGAACTTGGCAGATTCGTCCTCAGTGAATATACGGACCGTAAATAAAAAACTTTCATTGTTTGTTGTATGTTATAATCTAGGAAGACACCGCCTATCAGGAAACAATATATTTGGCATAACCATCGTCAATATCGAATATCAAAAGTTGCAGCACTCAACAAGACAGGTGTCATGTGTCTTACGCTGCCGATACTTCACATGCAATTGTCAATTTCACTTGGAATTCTTTTTATAGTTTGGATGCAACCATGGTTCACGAACAATGGCGCAATCAACTGGACTACATTATCACCCTTGTGGGATACGGTGTCGGGGCGGGAGCATTCATCAGGTTCCCTTTCTACTGCATGCGCAACGGAGGAGGTGAGCCTCAGTCAAATAATACCTCCCAATTAGGGGGCGCGGTGGGCGAGCTGGCTAAGTCGCCAGGCTAGTGTCAGGATCGAGCCCACCTGTGACCGGGTGTAAAAACCTTGGAGTCAACTTTGCAGACTCTTTCAGTGTTGTCACAGCCCCTAGTGTACAGTACACAACCCTGTGCACTTAAAAGAACCCACAAATCCGTTGGTATATGACCAGATGGTGGCCACATGAATACGTACAAACACCTAGTTGCGGGTACAGCAACGTGCAGTAAACTTGGACAAAGTACTGTGACTATGTGTCCCAGTCCACCCAGCTGTGAATGGGTACCTCGTTAGGATGAGAAAGCCACAATAACTCGGTGGCTGCAAGAGCTGTATACTCCCCAGGGAGATGAGATTGATAATACGATGTGCCGTTGAGACTGACATCCAGTGATCGTGGGGAAGAAATACCAGCGCCTTGAGCATGCACTAGATGCGTGGATATGTGCGCTATATAAATATCCTACAATAAAATAACAAATAATAAATAATAATATATTTGCATCTCAAAATGAAACAGAAGATATGAACAATAACACAAATGTCCTTGTCATAGAGGAAGGCCGAAGCTCTTATGATTTAAGATTAAAAACTGGAGGTAGTTATAATGGTTATAATGTGGATGCAATAAATATGCGGTGGAAAGTACTTCGAACACTGTTTGTGACGTATAAGACAAAATTGACTGGTCTCCTCTGAAAACATATAGCAGATTCCTTGTACGTTTGTGAGAAAAGTCGAAAAAAGCCAGCTGCTACAGCTACTTACATTCCACCAGAGTTAGAATTGATCTGTTGATGTGTACCAGCTAAACATATATTTTGTTAAACATGCAATTATGTTTTTCCGTTTGTTGTCAAGGAGCTTATCTGATACTGTTCATGTTCTTCACAATCATTGGAACCATCCCCTGTGTGTTTCTGGAGATGACAATCGGGCAGTTCTCTCAGAGTGGACCCATAAAAGTCTGGAATATATGTCCTGCTTTCAAAGGTAACAAGTGAACTACATCCAAGTGACAAAACACAAACAAGTCCAGTTTCAATAAGAACTCTTTAAGACGCTTTTGTAGTAGAAATGTTTTTTTTTTGGATCGATT